ATAATCTCTCTTGGTTCTTATTTTTACCCCCTTCCCCTGCCCTCCCTTGAAGCCCTCTATCAAGATCTTGGGCCTTTGAGAAATAATTGTGTCATAAGGGCCCCATCTCTCCTGAAGGAAATAGTCTCTTCAGAAAGAGGATTCATAAACTCATTGGACTTGCCCTTCACCTTCCCATCATGTGAGGACACAGCTTTCCTCTCCCCAGATGCTGCAGCAACAAGGCACCCGCCATCATGGGGGCAGACAGCAGCACTCAACAGACCATGGACCCTGCCAGCACCTTGACGTTGGTCTCCCAAACTCTAGAGCTGAGAAATACATTTCTGTTCTTTATGGATTATCCAGTCTGTGGTGTTTATTCCTTTGTAGCACAGGTGGACTAAGCCATATCTAAAGTCACATTGCTCCAGCAGGAGCTGTTGATGTCAACACCTTACATAACTGGCATCTTGGGAATTCCCATCCACACAACAATGGGATTCCCTTTGCCACACTTCTGTGTCACATGTCCCATATGGAATCCCCACTTCATTTTGTTTTAGAGGAAAATTCTTCTGGTAGCTTTTAGGAAAAGAGTTCATGACAGGTAAGATTTTTGAGACTTGCATGTTTGACAATGTCTTTATTCTACCTTCACATTTGAAGTTTGCCTGGATATAGAATTCTATCTAGATTGAAAAATAATTTTCCTCTAGAATGTTGAAGGCATCATTCTATTAGAGCTGATACTATTGTTAAATTCAAGACCATTCTGATTCGTCATCCTTTAGTACATTATCTGTTCTCTTTGAAAACTTAATAGAATCTTCTTTTTGTCCCAAGTATTTGGAAATTTAATGATGGTGTAGGGCTATTTTCTTCCATTTTATTAATACTCACTGGTCCCCACCTATTGGAGACATGTTCTTCAGTTCTTGCCACCAGCCGAGCCTGAAGATGGCCCTTCAGTTTCTTCCCTGCTCCCTCTCTCCTCCATAGATTAGAGAGTCAAACAGACACAGTATTGTAGACCCTGGATGGCACAACCCCGGGAGACAGTCACCTTGTATCTTTCCCTGTTCCCTTCCCATATGCTCCAATCACGAAACAATCACACTACCTTCCACCTAGGCCACGTAGGCCAGGGAGCACTATTTGCCTTCTCTTCCTGTTTGCCTTCCAGGTGGCCATTAGCTCCTGACAAGCTATGGTTCCACCTGGTCCCAGTTAAGAATAATCTTGGTCTTTGTCGTCTTTCTTCATCTTCTACTGCTCTTCCCAGCTTCAGACCCTACACTATGCAGGTCTCAGCAAGTTCTAAGATAATCTCTTAAATCATTTAATTAATGATTTCTTCCTCCCCATTTGTTTCTTTCCTGTTTTGGGAATTTCAATTATATGTTGGACCTCCTAGATTCCTTGATTCCTTTATGAACTTTTGTGTTTTTCTCTATATCTTTTTGCAATACTTCCTGGGATATTTCCTCAACTCAGTTTCCATGGGGTTTTAGTTAAGTTTGTAAATCCCAAGAGCTGTCTTTAGTCCTTTGGGTGTTCCCCATAAAGGCATGCAGTATCTTCTTATGTCTCTCTGAGGACATTAAAGATAGTGGGTTGGGGCTTTTAAATACAGTTTTCTTCTGCAAGTCCTCTTTTTCCTCTGAGTTTCTATTTTCCTGTGTTCATTTTGGCATCAGCCTTTCTGCTAGACACTTTCCTCAGATGACTGATGGTCCTTGGCTCATTTAATTGCTGAGATTTGGAGGGGGCCTGCTGATTCATAGCTTTCTAGTAGGGTGATCTGTTTGGGCTGTAGTTGGGAAATATCCATCATTGGTAGCTTTCATCTTTCTTCCTGGGCTAGTCTAATTCTTGAGGAAAGGCACTTCTAGTCTCCTCCTTGAAGGAGAGCCCTGATGGCCTGGGTTCTTCATGTGGAGTGTGGGAACAGTGAGACACAGGAGCAGGGCTGGGCTGGCTGGAGGAGGGGCAGCTGCTCCACCTGTGAGGAGCGAGAGAGCAGATCTGCCTGGGCCCTAATTGCTTCTCAGACAACTGTGGACCTCCCCACCTTATCTCCAGTCCCAAACAGGAAGCAGCAAATACCTTCGCCAAGAATTACCAATGGCCAGGAAAAATAAACAAACCTCTAGCACGAAACACAGATACTAAGACCAACTCATGAGAATGAATTATCCTTAATACCTTCAGAGAAATATTAGGAAATATTTCACACCCTTAAAAAAGAAAAGAACAAAAAAGGTCTTGGAAATTTCTTGTGTCAGCTGCTTAAGTCAGTTACAGCTACCCCTCTGCTTTCCAGCTTCCAAAATTTGTTGCTATTGTAGGGCTACTGGAACCAAACTGCTTTGTCTCTTCTCCTATTCCTAGTGGATTTACGGAGGTCTACTTTTATTTGTAATCTCTTAACTGGACTTTTTGTGGAATTTTAGGAATGAATACAATTAAATATGTATGATCAATTAACCATCTTTTTTATTGGGAACCACAAATGATTACTTTGTGGGTTTTCTTCATTGGGTTAGGATAAAACAGATCAAGCAAAAAGATAAATTTCAGGGAATAAAACAATGAATTAATCTAAGATTTTTCTATTTAGATTGTATCCCTAAACAGTAGCGACTTTTGAATATATTCTTCTTTGTAAATAGTGTTAGCTCATGTTCCAGAGGGTTGCTTTCAGCAGATAATCTCAAACCAGTGCACACAGCACAGAATTTATTCTCTTACATAACTGCAAGTTCAGAGGTAGGGTCAGATGATCTAGCATCTCAGAAACATCCTTGAGAACATGTTATCTCTCTACTCTGCTGTTCTTTGTATCAACATAATTTGAAGGCTGGTTCCCCTCATAGCATGACTCACTGTAGAGTCTGTGCTCAAAAGGTAATTAATCCATGGAAATTTCCTTTCTCGTTCCTTCACTGTAGCCCTGGCAGATTCTATTACTTTCTAGTCTCTAGACTAGACTTGAGTCTAGTCCAGTTTAAAACTTTACTACAACTTCTAATCTAATGCTCATCCCTTTCTCCAACTTGGGCTTGACTTCTAACCCAAGGAAATCACCACAGAATGACAAGCATGGACTCCACCTGTATCCTTCTGACTGTGCCCTCCTCTGAGTCTCCCTGTTGCCTCCATGGAGTAGTTAGCAGGAAGACTGGGACTAAGAGGACATGTCTTTTCCTTGACTGGCACAGCAGTTTCCTTCTCAGTGGGTACCAAGGAGGGATCTCCACAGGCCTTGTGTATGACCTTCACTGTATGCGTCTCTTGTGCCAGATATGGCACTGGTCTGACCATTTTTAACTCCCCTTCAGCATTACCCACAACCTGCTGCCAGATTTCAAGTCAAGTTCTCATACAGTCAACTTGATGTTTGGAAAAATGTCTCCATTCTCATCATTCTCATCAGGTTACATGGTTGGTATGCAAGTTGCTGCCTTTCTTTATCTGGCCATCTCACCCCAATTCCTTTCTCACACGTCAAAATTCACAGAGGATGCATCAGCAAATCCACCCCCAATCAGATTTCCAGCTGAGGTAAAGAAAGCCAGGTTTCCACCTAGCAGATGTCTTATGACCCAGATAGTTCTGATTACACACCTTCTGTCTGCATACAGCCTGTGGAGGGGGACAGGGAGAGAGTTTGGACAGCAGAGCTCATTCTTCTGCTTCTTAGTTAATCATGTAACTGTGGGAATTTTAGCTCCTTTTGTCTTCAGCTTGGAGACTTCAGCCACAGTTCCAAGACATTAGGGAAAGTCCTATTGAGGATCTTGTTTTACAAATTTAAAGTGGCCCCCAGAAAAATTCCAGTCTGCATGCTTCTTCATTCAACTTTAGCAGGAAAAGCACGCTGATGAACCATTCACAGAATAAAAATTCCTCCTTCAATTGGATTAGTCTGTCAGAGTACAACACACTTCCAGACCAATAGGAGTCACCAGGGCCATACCAGTCATGGATTCATTTTCTCTAGTCAGGGTCCACTCAGAGAGCCAGGGATGGGGTAGACTTTGTTAGGAAGAAGGAAGGGAAGTAGATGTTCAGGACATGAGTAATGGCATCTGCTCAGTTTATGATGTGTTCACATAAAAGAACTCCTGTAGGTTCAGATCATCTGAAAATATTAATCTGTTTCCCCAAATCAGCTGCCAATAAATCAATGAAAAACCAGATCAAATTTTAGATATATTTTCTCTAACAATGCAATCTCCATTGCCTCAGTTTTTTCATATCTGTAGTCATGATATCCTCTACATTTAAAAATGGGGAGCATTGTAGTGTTCTCTTTCAAGGACTGGGTTTGGGAAGAGACACATACCTCTTACATTTGTCTCATAAGTGATCATGCTCTTATATTAAATTTTCCTCTGGGAGAAACAACCTGGAGGTAGCATGTCAGAGTTTCATTCTTTTTTTTTTTTTTTGTACCAAGGATTGAACTCAGGACCTTGAGCTTGCCAGGCAGGCAGCGGCACCACTGAGCTAAATCCCCAGCCCCAGAGTTTCATTCTATATAGACCCTGGGATAGTATTATATAATACCATTTGCAACATTTCTTCCATGAAATTACCAATGGAGAAAATGTAAGGGCGAAAGGAATGAGGGTTTCAGTAAGGTGATAGCCAAAACAAACTATAAAACTATTTTTATAAGGCATGAATTCATGTAGAGTATTAATAGACCATAGAATTGTAAGACGTCAAAGTTGAAATTCCTACTCCCCCTTCAAGATTTTAATGCAAATCAAAGGCTTCAGTTCACAAACAGCATGAAAAAATATAATTTTCTTTATTTTTTGGTATAACTTAATTTTCATTTTGAGACTCTGAGAAGACAAAAATAACCTTAGGCTTTCAAGATTTCCTACCCTTTGACATTTATACCATGGCATTGTGGGAGAAATGTCATCTGTCCTTAATGTCACTGCCCAGTGATCCAAGCAAGTCATCACTAAGACATCCACCCTTCTTGTCCACCGTACCTTTAGGTTTGAAGCTTCATCTTCCTTTTACAACATTCTTGAGTCCATCTGTGATACCCTGGATGCATGGAACCCACAAGTAGACCCTGATACACTGGGGATCCATAGCCTGGAGGGTAAGGTGTATACAGCTCCCCTTAGTAACTGCACAAACCTTAGTTTTGCTGCTTCACTGGGATTTGCCTGAGAGGCAGCCTTTGGGCCCATCTATCCAGAAAACATAGATATCTATACTGTCATCACTTTCCTTCAGCTTCTTCTCTGTCCTACTCAGTACTAGTGAAGCTTTTTTATGAGAGAGAGACAGTCCCACCCTCCTCAAACAACCTCAAACTTTCAGATAGTTCAGACTGTCTTCACTTTAGTACTATCGACTATTTTGAACCAGACAATTCTTTGTCGTGGTGGCTGTTCTGAGCATAAAGAATTAAAAGCATCATACCACAGTGATATATGCACACCCATGTTTAAAGCGGCACATTTTGTAATAGCTACATCTTGGAAGCAGCCCAAATCCCTGTCAACTGGTGACTGGATAAAGAAGTGGTTTTTTAATAAAATGGAGTACTATTCAGACATACAGAATGATAAACTAGAGACATTTATAGGTAAATGGATGCATATCAGGGCCATACTCTAAAGTGAAATAAATAGGACACACGTGTAAATACCAAATTGTCTCTCTGATGTGAGAAACCGAAAGTGTAAATAAGGACCAAAATGTACAACAGATAATATGAAATAGGAAGCAAAGGTTCAAGGAGAAGGGGGAGAAAGGGGGTGGGGGAAGGAAAGAAAAAAATATGAGAAAAGGAAAAACTGGAAATAAAGCTTTTCTAAATAGGGGTGGAGGGGTGGAAGGGAGGGAAGTGGAATGGGAAAAAACAAGAACTAAGATATATCACGTACAGGTACAAACTCCCAGTGATGAATGTGATCATAATGTATACCCAAAATGTACCAATAAAGTTAAATTTTTAAAAAGAATGTTGTTTATTAGCACTTTAGCCAATAAATGCAAGTAGCACCCTCCAATTCTTGACAATCATTACCAAAAAACAATCGTTATCAAAAAACCCAAGAGTCACCTCTGTTCTTCTAAAACCTAAGCTTTGATACATAATATCTAGGAAGAGACTCAAAGGCAATTTGCTTTGCTTGAATGCCTTGTCCTCTTCCTAAGGCAATTCATGTAAATAGAAGAAGAAAAGATAGATGCATAGGTGTGCCTGTTAATCCTATCAACTTCACTGGATTAGGATATGTCTAGTGGTCAGTGAAGCACACACTGGGTGTGTTTGGGTGAGTCATATAGGTATGGCATTGGATACTATATATGGTCAGTCACTTGTTCTTGTTCATTCTTCCCCAGCTCTGCTTCCTGGATGCTGTGAACTAAGCAGCTTGGTTAAACCATGCCCTTCTGCCATGATCTCTCTGCTTTGGAACTTGTCAACCATGTACTGAATCTCCTGAAACTGTGAGCCAAAATAAACTTTTCCTTTAAGTTGTGGGTGTCAAGTATTTTGTCCCACTGGCAGGAAAGTTACCATAGAATAAGGAATGTAGTTATACTTAAGAAGCATAATTCCATATGTGTTATGTTTTCTTACCTTTTCCCTTAAAATATACACTCCATGATCATTCTAGCACCTCCTATGTGTGTATATTACATTTAGTATATGGACTGCAATGAATAAGCATACAAAAAGCAATTTGGATGGGAAGGAGAAAGATGCAGTCATTAAATTCTAATCTATACAGCTGAAAAAAAATTACTCTTCATATCTAACACATACCTCAGGAACCATATTTCTCAGCATTGAATTTCCCTTCCAGGTTTAGAACTTACCCTCCCCCTAGTGAATTGAAACAAGACCTGGGTATTTAAAGAGGATGTGGATCAAAGACCTTGCACATTTATGCCTTTAACCCCTGCAAGAGTCATTCTGAGGAAATGAATAAGAACCAGCAATAACTCTACTGACAGCAAATCTTTTGTCAGCTCATATGTAAGGGAGATTTCACCACAGGCCCAGGGGCTACTATCACTTATTTATTCATTCCTTTATTATTCTCTCACTTAAATTTGATAATAAGTATTTTGTGATTTCCCAGAACATGAATAGCCATGGGGATTCCCATAAAATGATGCTGGAGATTATAATTTAATTTCTATGAATGTTTCAGGGCTTTATTCTACTTATTAACTTATCTTCTAGGCACAAATAAAGAAAAACATTGGCTGGAACCTGAGGCTAAGAGAAGAGGAGCTATTTTAGCTGAGACCTCTTACATAGAAAATCTCAGTTCAGGGCTGGGGATTTAGCTCAGTGGTTCTGCCGCCTGCCTCACAAGTGCAAGGACCCAAGTTCAATCCCCAGTACAAAAAAAAAAAAAGAAAATCTCAGTTCATTTCAATTTTAAAAACCTTGCACACAAAGGCCTTTGATGCTACCCTAAGCATTAATACCAATTCCTGTTATTTTTATGATTATTTTTCTTTTGGCTGTAGAACTCTAATACAGCACATTAATTGTGACATAAACCTGCTGCATTTTTACAACCATGTGGGGGAAGATAATCACTGCTATAGTGTTATTGTCATCCACTGTATGCCGATACATTGGTAGGCGTCTATAGGAAAGCATTAGCCCTTTCCCTTCACCAAAACACAACGTAAACCAAGCCTTCTTCCCTGAGTGTCGCAAACCTGCCGCAGCAGCTGCATGCAAGTCTGCCAAGAGCTCAGCATTACCATGCTAGGGTGGGGCAGTGGCTTTGCTCTCTGATTGAATCAGACTCCAAATGTTAATTCAGTGCACCAGTTGGTTAACTTAGGGATCCCTGTCTAAGGATAGGCCACTTTGGATTTCTATGTATGTGCTTAGATACTCTATTTATCTGCTTTACTCTTATGTCATTGATGTAAGTAAATTAATCATGTGCATTAATGCTTGGATATGGCTTGTAAGTTTGATGCAAATTTGAACATTCTTTTAATATCCCCTAAATAAATATTCTGGTTTACATTTTCTCTCTTCAGAGATTCAGACAGTCCTTTGGCATTACGTCCTGCCCCAAAGTATCATCATCATGTATATTATTGTTGGAATAGCTGGTGAAAACACCAGCTAACAAAGTGTTCTGAGTAACATTCCAAACAAATTCCTTGATCATCTTAAAATGTAGTATGGAAGGGCTAACAATGACGTACTCTGTTCTGCACCAGACCTTGTGTGAGATGAGATAGATCATCTCATTTAATCCTCACAACTGCTTATGAGGTGTATTGCTGTCTCATTTGGATGTCTCTGAAAACAGCTTGGGATGAGGGCTTTGTGCAGGTGGTACATTAGGAAGGTGATCCTTAAGACCATGAGTAAGGCTAGAGAAAGCAAAGCAGGAAAGAGGAAAGGCCAACATAAAAATGTGTTATTTAGGTACCATGGTCAGCAACAGGGACTCAATTCTGCTTGACCTCTTGAGAATGAGCCAGATGTCTCCCATAATCATTCAGTAGGAGGGCAGGAGCGGGGTACCTATTCACTGATTCTCAAGTCCCACATGTGTTAATCTCAGAGGCAGGAGCTTTCCCAGGGAAGAAAGCAGAGAAACTAGGCCTTGACTACTAAGAAGGAAGTGAGTAGAGTTAGGGCACCAGAAGCTTCTGTCATCATCTTTCTCCCCCATACTCACCTCATGTTACAGAGAGGAAATCAAGGACATGGCAGTCAGTCAACTGGCCAAGGTCACAAAGCCAGTTAGTGGTGGAGTCAGGATTTTAACAGGATTTTTAGATTTTTCCTGACTTAAACAGGAGGCCAGACCTCTCACTGCTGTCCTGTTGACCCTCCCACCTGAGTGACGTGAGGGCCTCCCACCACTCTGCCCTGTGCAGCTCCATCTCGAGGTTTGGGTAGTCCATCCACCAACTCAAGGTATGGCCCATCTTAATGACATTTACTCAAAACCTGCATCTTCTCCTTTGGGAGTCAGTTTTCTTCCTTTTGCAACAACCCAGGAAAATGCTACTACAACACTGCATCTGCATTTATGGGAGAAAACTGAATATTTTTCACTGAGACTATGAAGGAAGAGAGAGAGAGGTTCAGATTCCATATCACTTGAGAGGGAGAAAACATAACTCATGCAACTTTTGAACTGCTTTTACATTTTTATTAAAATGTTATTCTTCAAATAGTATAGAAATACACCTAGCAATAACCTTTTAGAAGTCAACTGTCTGCTTCAAACATACATAAGAAATATACCCAACCAAATTCTGCTCTATTGGAATTTATTTAGTTATACATACATACATACATATATATGACTACATACACATACCTATATATGTATGTATATATAGTCAGGACAACACCAAAATGGCTACATTTGACAGGCTGGATAGAATTTTCTGGTTGTTTTTCTCCTTGATAAAAGTTGTAACATTTATGAAAGCTTTGAAAGATAAGGTTGAAAGGCCACAGCATGAACTACAGGGGCCAGGAGCAATGGGTGGCATGCACACAGGGTCCAGGCCTCAAGAGAGATGCCAGTCCCCTGCTTCTGCTGTGAGCAAACAACACTGTGAAGCAACAAACACAGAGAAGAAGGCACTCCCTCTCCAGGGATAGGGTCTTTGGGCTCACATTCAGGAGTCACAAGACATCACACCCAAGAGAAGGAAAAGGAAACTCCCCACATATGGGCTGAACTTCCTCCAAAGGACAAGGGACAATGTGGCTAACAGAGGGGATGTGCTAGGATGACTACCTTTGGCATGTGGGAATCTGCCTATAAGGACACCCACTTCCTTTCAACCTTGCTCAAGGGGCTGATGGACTCCTCCAAGTACCATTAAAAAGAACAAAACACCCTAGAGCAGTGACAGCAAACCTGTGGCCCTTGTGCTGCAACCGGCTGTTTGTTATCATTAAAAGCTCTAAAGGTTCGCCATCACTGACCCAGAGAAAAGAAGAGGCTGACATTTTATTTACCTTCATTAAGAATGAAGTGCCAGGTTTGAATTCAGCCTCGTGAGATCAACTCCAGAGCATACTATACTCGAACTACATGTGCGGGAGACACCCCCTGGGACCAGTGAGCAGAGGACACTGGTCTCCCTCCTCCATACTCCATACTCTGGTTCCTACCAAAACTTCCTTGGGAAGAAGGAAGTGAAGAGCTCACCTGGCCTGGGTGTTGCCTCAGCAGTTTACAATGATTTTGTCTCCTTGTTCTGTCCATCTCTGCCTATGAAAACCAAAGTTGTACCACATACTAAAAATGAGATCAGGGCACCTGGCCATTCTCTCAGACTTTTGCCAGTCTTTTAGACAGAATCACCTTTCCTAATCAGGTAATTTAGCTTGATGTTTCCAATGGACCCAGCTCATGCTACCTTTGCATTTCTAACCACCTTATAATTCTAAAAATTTGCATAAGACAGTGTTTCCAATATATTTTACTCATACAGATTGTTACATAGCACCTTTCATGGGAGATCAGGTGGAGAAGAGCACAGTGCCATGAGCATTTCTAAGACTCTGTTCCCCACCTTTAAACTTTTCGTTTGTTTAAAAAGCACACTTTAAGGAACAGACCACAGTGAAGTGCCTGCAGTGTCTCCCGCCTGACACTATGACTAGAGGTCAAAATGCTCTTCCTGGGCCGTCGGGGAGGTCAAGAGAATGTCAAGATAGTCAAGGACACGTCTCCCTTACCCCTGGGCACATCCATTGCCATGTCTGTCACACAGGGGTGAGACAGCCATTCCTTACTCGTATTCCAGTCAAAGGAATGAAGGGGAATATAAGTCATAAAGATTGGGGTTTCCAGAAATGCTGTCTGATGCTATTACCCCATCTCCTCAATATAAAAGGTTCTCTTATTTCTTATAGTTGTTACCCAAACAGGCATCTTTTTGTTTTGTTTTGTTTTGGTACCGGGATCGAACTCAGGTCCTTGTGCTTGCGAGGCAGGTGGCAGAAGCACTGAGCTAAATCCCCAGCCCCCAAATAGGCATCTTTTTGGCCACTCCACTCCATAATTATCTTGGACTTCCCTTACAGCAGTGGCCCCTGACCTTTTGGGTCCTGTTTTGTGGGAGACACTTTTTCCACAGACAGGAGTGGGAGAGGTATGGTATGGGATAATTTAGAGTGCACAACCAAGGTCCCCTGCACACGCAATTCACAATAGGGTTCATACTCCAGGGGGCAGAGCCCAGGTGGTAATGCCCATGGTGGAGACCAGCTGTAAACACAGATGAAGCTTTGCTCAGCTCCTGCTGTGCACCCTAGTTCCTAACAGGCCACGCACTGGTCCCAGTTGGACACCCCTGCCTTAGAGGATCTCTGCTCCCTCAGAACTCATGGATGTCTTCTCTCTGTGTGCTCTCTGCTGACCCCAGGCAAACCGAGGAATCCCCAGAAAATGCACACAGAGCACCTATCCCAAGACCTGTTCCAAGGTGCCCTGTTTTCATCCCACAGAGAAGAACGTAGACTTAACTAAGCACAGGATCATTGAGATAAATATAGATGCTCACTCAATAATGAGCACGTTTGATTTTACATAGACTTCCCTTTCATTCAAAAGCATGTGTTTCCTATAGGAAGAATCAGCCTACAGTGGGTTGCAATGAGATCACACAGCTCATATGGCCACAGTGAAGGAGGGCAGGGATACAGAAGCTCCCTGTTGCTTCAGAAATTTACAGTCCTTGCTAGGAATCCACCTTTGGGAAAATGCTCACTTTATTGTTTCTGCTCATCTTCCGCTCCACCTTGCCCTTGGGCACCTTTGTCTGGATCAGTTCTTCTGGGGTATTGCCCAAGGGCGGAAGCAGCCTCTTCTTGCTGTTTCGGGTCTCTGACAGCCACTGAGGGGGCAACTCGAAAGGCCCAAAGCCAAATTGCAGAGAATACTTGTCAGGGAATGTGTCAGGCTCTACAGGGCCTGCTGGTGCCACCTGGGATATAGAGTCCACTGTGCCTGGGGGTGGTACATGAGGTGCCACCTGCTCTCCCTCCAGGCAGGTGGTAACTACCTCCTTGGTCTGGAAGTCAGTAGACCCAAGGTACTTGGCTTCATTTTCTTCCTCATCCTCTGTGGGCTTAAAGATATGCTCCTGCCCAATGTGGAACATCTCCAGGAGCTGGCTGCCTGAGCGCATGCTGGGTTCCAGGCTGGTATCAGCCATTGTACTCCCTGTGCTAACCACGTTACGCCGACTGTACCGATGGTGCAGCTGCACCAGAGTCCCTATCAAACACTTGCGGACGGATTTATTCACAGTAAGAAAGAGCACAGGGTTTGCCAACAGAGAGACCTTGGGCAGCCAAATGGCAGTGAGCAGCAAGAAGACAGAGGTGTCGGGGACATTGAGTACAGTCTGGTAGACAACTAGGGTGGCATAGGGCACGCTACACAGGATGAAGACCATCACCATTGAGAGCAGGGTGGCGTGCAGCTCTGCCTCCCGCTGGGAGGCATAAGGGATAGAGATTGTGTTCTGCGGGGTCCGGAGGGCTGCAATGATGACCTTCTTCTTCTGGCTGGCACTCAGGGCCCGTCGGATCAGGATCAGGAAGAGAAACACCACAGCCACAGGCATGATGACTGTGGTGATGTTATAGACCAGGACGTACACCAGGTGGCCCAAGGAGTTGCTCCAGACTTCCGTGCAGGTGGACATGGCATAGATGTCAGCTACATTCGTCACTGCAAACACAGGGACACTGGCCACCACTGCATGGGCCCAGATGTACACCACCAGTTCCCGGGACTTGGCATCAGATATTTTTCTCTCCAGTGGATAGAGGACTGAGTAGTACCTGCATGATACACACAAGAAATTCATTTCACAAAGGATACTTTGTAAAGTTAGAGGACTCTATTTAAATCACCAGAAGTAGGCAAGAGGGGAAAGAGCCAGGTTCTTTCCTTTGGCCTACAATAGGGAAGAACCAGGGGAATCCAGGAAGCCAGATCTTAAATTTTAAGGACTTTGGTATGCAATGTGAAGTAGCACTACACACACACACACACACACACACACACACGTGCGTTCACTTTTTCCAAAGGAGCAGAGCAAAGAGTCCTTTCTCCATGTGACCCTCAAGACTCTCTATCAGGATAAGTAACTAAATTCAATCAGTAGCTAGTCTTATAATTACTGCCGCTGGGGTTAAATCCTACAATGCCTTCAATATAAAGGATGTCTCCACCTGCTATAAAGACATCTGTTTTTCAATTTAAAGGTAACTTGTAAACATTTTACATGGGGTAGAGAAACTTCAGGAACATTTTCAGAAACATTCAAAGCCACTAGCAGAAACTTGTACACACACATATCTCAGGCAGATCCACACCACAATCTATAAAGTGGCATTTAAGCTGCTCAGGGCAGAACCCCAGATGAAAGCTGGGTCCCAAAAAGGTACCGTAACAAACATTATTCCTGCTCAACAGCCACTGTCCTCACAGTAACTGTAAGAGAAGTTAGTAGGTCTAAAATGCCCGCATAATTAAATTTATATTAAAACCAGGTGACGCATTAATTCCTTCGAAGCTTTAACTTAATCATCCTACAACCGCCTAAAGAGAATCCCAGTGATTTGTGGGAAGTGATTAATTCTTCAAACCTGAGAACCACATCTGTAATGAAGGGCTGCCACCAGCCGTCAGCCATATGATGAGCTTCTTCACAGAAGCTTGGCCCCATCTCTGCTGTCCGCTAATGCTGGAGTTGACCTCCCAATCATGGCAACCATCACTCACTCGCATGCGTGACCAGTATTCCTGACTACTACCTCTGTACCTGTCCTGTGCCAGGCCCGTGGTTACACACATGAAAAGACACCCAGGGATGTCTCTACACTCAACAGAAGACAGGCACACCAACCATTATGAGCAAGGAGATAAGAGCTCTACTGGAGGCAGGAGAGAACAGGGGGCCACCTAAAACTACCTGGGAAGACATCGAAGAGAGCAGCACCATGTTGGAGGCTGGCAGGGAGACAGTGGGGAGGATAAAATCCTAAGCTGAGACAGATGTGATGCAAGCACAACAGTGACCATGGATGGTCAGGAATGGACTGAACATGGAGAAATGTATTCTACATTGCTTTCTGGAAAGGGAAAACAGAGGGAGTCGTGTACAAATATGCCTGCTGTCATTGTCTCTGAATGTGGATCAACTGCTTCTAATCACAAGTCTATAAATATGTGATGGCCCCACCCGCACACATGAATACATGCCTAGAGTCTGGGGGCTCTGGTCACCATCTGCTCACTCCCTTGCAACAAACCTAGGTACCCTCAATTTTCCATCCCATTATGTATTGGGAAATAGACACAACATAAGAATGCAGGCTCACTACAAATAATTTTCCTAGTGTAAAACTCTAGAAGATGATGCAGAAGTGTGGGCACCAGTTAACTTGCTGACTTGGTGCTGTGGAACAAATGCCTGCAAACAAAGTGAAAGGTCATCTTCCCTTCATCTTCATGTGTACCGTATTGATACCTGCAAATAATCTGTATCTCTGAACAAGAGGAATTTGCAGTCTTATTTTTCTACTAAAATGACTTCTTTACCTTTTGTGTTAAGATGATAACAATGTGGAAGAAAATAAAAATTTCTTATTTGAATATTTCCTATCTAGGACCAAGGGCCCAGACATGACCCACAGGGATTATTATAGTGCTTCCAGGTATCATGGCAAAATGTTCAGAATAATGTATTCACACTGTTGAATCTTGTTAAAAAAACTTTCAGGATTCATAGCAGCATTATTCACAACAGCTAGAAAATGAAAACAAATGTCCACCAACTGGTAAATGGATAAAGAAAATATATCACATCCTCCAATTAAATATTATTGGCCATAAAAATGAATGGAGGCTTAAGGCTTCCCTAATGTCGGGTGCAGGGCTAGCTACTAGAGAGAATGAGGCAGGAGGACTGCTTGAGTCTAGGAGTTCAAAGCCAGGTGATAACATAGCAAGATTCCATCTCAACAATAAAAATAAAAAAGGCTAGGGGTGAAGGGGTTGAAGGGAGGGGAAGAGAAATGGGGAAAAAATAAGACCCAAGATATATTATGTAAGGGTATAAATTTCCAATGATGAATGTCATTATATTGTATACCTAAAATGTACCAATAAAATTAATTTTAAAAATAAAATAAAATAAAATAGGTTTCATGATAGCAGGTAGGACAGGGCAGTCAGAAGGACACCTGACATGAACACGGGTGACTGCACACCAAATACATTACAGCACCCACCAGAATGTAAACTTGGGGCAAGGACTCTGACTTGCAAATTATGAATGATGGCAATAGCTAAAACATAAGATTAATTTACAAATAAATATCCTTTTAAAGATGGACAGAGAAAACAACCACGACAATATGAGGCCTTGGAAATAAATCTTCCATAGGGAATTTGGTTGTTCTCTGCTGGATCCAGCTGGGTCATCTAATCATTAGTTAAATAACCACTGAATTATTCCTTGTTCTTCCAGAAATGTTTTCATGGTATATCAAAGAATCCTAATTGCAGAGTTATAAATCAAACAGCAATCTACTTCAAATCACAATGCAATACCAATTCTACCCAAGCTGAAGTAACAGCGTGATCTGATAGCTCGACTTCAGCACTGTCACAATATAACTCCCCCACTCAAGTCTTTCCTCAGGGGTCTTAAATACAGTGTGTAGTTCAGGCTAACTTTAAACTGACTATGTAGCCCAGGCTGGCCTTGACCACGCAGCAATCCTCCTGGTGAGGCCCTGTTTTGAATGTTCATTCTCTTTCTGCTGACCACAGCAGATTAAACGTCAGTGTACAAAACACTGACAATTCATCACTTGTTTCACAAGGCTCATTTTTCGTTTTCTTTTTTTTTGGTACCAGGGATAGAATTCAGGACCTTGCGCGGCAGGCGCCAGAACCACTGAGCTAAATCCCCGGCCCCTGACAAGGCTCATTTTTCAATACACTTGTAAACGCCGAGCCCCTGGCTAACAGATCTCACCTGTCCAAAGCAATGGCGGGAAAGCTGAGGATAGTCACAGAGCAGAAGACTTTGTGCAGAAACTTGACGACTTTGCAGAAGAGCATGGTGTAGATCCACCAGCAACAGTGCGGACTGGTGCTGAGGATGATGTCAAAGGGCACACAGACCAGGCTGGCAAAAATCCCCGAGCAGGCCAGGTTTTTAATGAACCTGTTGGTGACAGATTTGAACACGGTTGTGCGGCAAGTTGACCATAACACCATGAAGTTTCCTGGCCAGATACGCAAAGAAATAAAAAAAGTTAATAATTTAAAGAAAAAGGAAAGAAAGAAAATACAGGTTTAAATCTTTTAAAATGTATTTGAGAGTTGACTTCAATATATTATGCTGTCAATGGGAAATTATCAGATCACACACATCAAAAAGTCTAGATGAAATTTCAGAGGTGAGTTTATTATTTAATTTTAGGCAAAATAGTATTATTATGATGATGGTTCAGTATCATGGGCACAGAAACAATTGACTAGGTGTTATTTAATCTCAGACAGTCTACTCTTACCAAGTTTGTTAATGAATTCTATGTTGCTAGAATGTAACAAATACAATGTAAGCCACATGTTTAATTTAAAAATTTTTAGTAGCTATATTTTTAGAAAGTAAAAGGAAGCAAGTGAATTGTTTAACCCAAGTAAGTCTTGAGTATCATTTCAACATGTAATCATTATTTAAAATCCTTCGTATTTTCCACTTCATTTTACACTGTCTTCACAAGCCAGCATGTATACATTTTTTACACTTACAGCACATCTCAATTTCAACTGGTCACATTCCAAGTGCTCAGGGGCCGCATGACCCTAGCGGCCACTACACTGGACAGCAGCGGAGCGGACTTTTCAGCAGCAGTCACACAGTCATTTCTCTGAGTTTGCTCTTCCTGTGGCTTCAAGCCTACACTCTCCTTCCTGGGTCCCCCAACTTCCTATCACCAAGGCCTGGGTGCTGTCTTCTTTCTCTAGGCCCTCCTCACTTCTCTCGCTATAGCCTCTCCCTAGGTTAGATTACCCATTCGGATGTCTTTCCACCAAAAATTCATGTCCTAGAAGAGGCTTCTTCTCTCAACACCAGATTCCTTTTCCAACCAAACTTTTGATTCCCTACCCTGACTCAATCTATTATGTTCACATGGTCCTCCGGGGCCATAATCTCGGGCTGCCCTGGCTAATTTCATACCTCTCTTCCCCTGGCTGATGGGTACACCACATTCTGGCTCTTTTTTTCTGCTCTTGAAACATATCAAGGATTATCCAGCCTCAGTGCCCTGTAATAATTTTTTTTATACTGCCTAGCCTGTTCCTCACATGTCTGACTCACTTTAATCCAGGTCATTGTTTAAATGCTGCTTCTACTCTAAAAGACCTTCTCTTTGCATCTTTTTATTTTAAATACTCACTGCTTCTCCCTCCATCAGACTCTACAATAGTACCCTGTGGTGTCCTTTGCAATTCTTACCATAAACTCTAAATTTGTTTTCTTGTTGTTCCTCTAGTCATGAGGACAAAAAAAACATGTTCACCTTGTTCACTGTCACAATGTCACACTTAGCTCAGTATCTGGCACAGAGTAGGCATCCAATAAATATTTATTGAACAAATTAATTGGTACAAACAGTGATCAAAAGGCCCTGAAGTAAGGAAGTCCTTTTATAATCAGTCACTCGGGGATCACAGGGCACACTGCAGCAGAATGACATCGAGAATCACAGTTACTAAGTATGGCACCAGGAACATGCAGTTATAAAAGCACCCAGCACAGCTGGCCCCAGACTGAAGTTTCAGAAATGCTACTTCTAGACACAGCCCCTCCCCAGTCCCCCAGGACCCAGGCTTCAGGTGTACACAGCAGCCTGCTTTTCCTCATGAGAGTCTAGGTCCACTGGCTGCTCCCTCCTGCACATGCTGACCCATGCCATCTGATGAATGCAGCTGAGAGCTGAGCCAGGTTCCAGAGAGGAGTGGGGATAACTAGCAGGGGATAGCGGGGTTCAGGGCTGCAGAGGAGGTCACCGGAGAGCCCACTTAAAGAATTCTGCCACGAAAAGAGTAGGTATGTCAGAGTATCTTCAGGGCTCACAACCTGGGGTATCTCCAGGTAACAGACGCCAGACAAATGAGCTGTTTCCTTGAAAGAAGTCAACACCCTGAGGATTTTCTTTTTCTCTTCTCTCCTCTCCTCACAGTTAATCTTTACAGTTCAGCAGGTTATGTTGAATAAAATATCTTGAATAATAAAACAAGGTGGAAAGTTCATTGCAAAGGGCATCCTGTGGGCCAGGGGTCGCTCTCATCTTTTGAAACCTAACTGAAACATTTCCATCATTATTCTCATATTCTACTTTCCCATTCACCTTTCTCCCTCCCTACTATGACAGGCATGCTTTTTATCGTATTTTTAAAGTCGTGCTTTTGCAGTATATACAATAACAATGTGAGGTCAAAGTATTCTGGCTTTGGGAAAGAGGACCTCATATACCATCTTAGGAATTGCACTAACAATACAGTGAACATTTTATTAGTACGTCCACATATGTGAATGAGGAAACTTGTTTTGTCTTTTATTTTTTGTTTCTTTTCTTTTTGGGGGGGAGGGGGTACCGGGGATCAAACCTGGGTCCTTGCACCTGCAAGGCGGCAGAACCACTGAGCTAGATCCCTGGCCCTTGTTTCTTTCTTTTTTTTTTTTTTTTATTAAATTCTTTTATCGGTACATTGTAGGTATACAACACAATTACATTTCTCATTGGGAATTGTACCTTTACATAATGCATCTTGCTTCTTATTTTTTCCCCATTCCTAGCCCTCCCTTCACGCCCTCCACCCTTCCCTATTTACAAAGACTTTATTTCCATTTTTTCCATTTCTCATCATTTTTTCCTTTCCCTTCTTTCCTTTCCCCTGGCCCTCCCACTACCCCTAACCCTTTGGACCTTTTCTTCCTATTTTGCATTATCGATTATTCATTCTAATCATTGGTACATTTTAGGTATACAATATAATGACATTCATCATTGGAAATTTGCACCTTTACATAGTCTCTCTTGGTTCTTGTTTTTCACCCTTGCCCAGCCCTCCCTTCAACCCCTCCATTCCTCCCTATTTACAAAGATTTTGCTCCTGTTTTTCCATTTTCCCATATTGATCCCACTCCCTTCTATCCTTTCCCTAGCCCTCCCACTTCCTTCCCTTTGCCCCTTTTCTTCCTTGTTTCTTTTTAAGATATGCAGGCTGCCACCTGCAGTGCTGCTTCTGGAGGTGTCTGGAGTCTTGGAAGCTTGGCTGTGCTTTGCATATAAATGGGCCCTGAGGGCTGGTCATCGGGAGGGTCTAGCAGAGAGTCAGCTCCTCCCACCCCCTTGGCGGAAGACTGGTCCTCCTCTATGGGGGAAGTTTCCTCCTCCACCGGGCACACAGCTTCAGAAGAGACATACCAGGAGAGAACAGGGAGGAAGGGGGCAGCCTCCTAGCCAGCTAGATCAGCCAGATTAACCCTGCTGATCAATGGGGTGACAGGCAAAGCCAGATCATCTTCACATCCAGTAAACCTGTTTTCAAGTAATTATTATGAAAAAAAATGAAATCTGAGACTGCCATAATTACTTCTTTGAGGGGTGGTGCAGAGGATTGGACTCAGGCTGTTTATACAGAGCTACATCCCCATCCTGCCTCCCTAACTTTTTTAAAATTTTGAGACAGAGCCTTGTTAACCTGCCCAAGCTGGGTGTGAACTTGCCATCCTCCTTCCTCAGCCTCCCAGAATACAGGGGCTACAGGCGTGTGCCATCATACCCAGCTTCAAATTACGTTTTATCTCTAAGACTCTAGGCAACATCTAGGAACTAGCCTCTTATACTATTAAGAGCCTAATTTTAAAGACGCCTTCCCATCTTTTAAACCACTGTTCTCTCTCCTCATTTAAAACTAACTCATTTGGCTTTAACCTGAATTGGATCAAAATATGTGGGCAGAAGGTCTACATCTCACTCCTGTAGGCTACATCCAATTCTTATTGGCTGCAGTTTTTAAAAATGCACACATGCAATGAACACAAACCACAGATCATGCTTGACTGGACTGATAATGAGGAAACCGCCAGTCATTTTTTTTCCAATTAAATTTTGCCTCTGCAAATTCAGGCTGCAGCTCGCCTTTTAACTGATTTATAAGCTCTGCATCTTATAAGCTTTTGGAAAGCTTTTGCTCCAAAATCTTTACGCTTTAAGCTTTTGGAGCAAAAATCCTGGTGTATTAGAAAGACTAATAGCCAAAATTAAAAAAGGTATTTCAAAAGAGGCTTGAGAAATGAAAACCCTCCTGGGAAAATAGATACATCACCCTTTTAAAAGTACCAGTTTCCCAGAGACTTAAAGGGGTAAAATGACCCATGGTCGTGCCTCCACAAAAAGATAACACATCACTCAGAACACTCTAAAAACTGCAACTTGAAAAAAGCAGGTGCAAATTGAAGATGATATTTATTTATGAGAGAAAGTCTAGGAAGACAGACTTCCAGGAGAGAGGCCACAGTGCATGGACAAGGGTCAGAGGACTTCAAAGGAACTTGGCACACACGGCAAGCATCACAAGAGGAACATTTAAGCAAGTTAGAAAATACTAACCCATAAGAGAAGAAATAACAAACAGACTTTGGGTAGAATGGATTTTTAAATGTCTTCTTTGCTTCAGTTTGTAGTTATAGAAAAAAGAAAGTAACCAAGAACTGAGTCTCATGAGTTAAAAGAGTTATGTGAAGGGGAAAGTAGAAAATACTTTCAATTAATCTTCCAGATAGCAACAGAAATGACTTTTTGCCTATCTATGTTTTAATGTTTAAAGCGGCTTTCTCAGATACAGCATATTGTTGGTTCTTGCTCTCTTTAACTGATCTGACAGGGTCCTAGCATTTACATTTAATGTAATTTTTGATACGGTTGGAGTCATACCTACCATCTTGTTTTTCCTATTTGTCTTGTCTTTCCTATTTGTCTCGTCTGTTCCTTGTTCCTTTTTTCCTCTTTATCTTCCTGACTCCCAATTGAGTATTTTATATAACTCCATTTTATCACCACTATTGCATTATTTATACTTTGTTTTAAATTTTTGGTAGTTGTCCTATGTTTGCTATATACATCTTTAATGACAGTCTACTTTCAAACACTATTATACTGTGTCATGTGTGGTGTACGACTCTCACAACAGTATATTCCTAATTTTTATC